CAAAGACGCGCTCATGTGAGAACGAATGCCTAGGAAAGAACTGAAAATCAAATGTAATTTTTTTTTAAAAAACCACGGTGACATTTTCGCAAATAACTCAAACTTTAGTGCAAGTAACATGTGTTAAAAGTGTAAGTAACTAGTGCAAGTGTGCAAGTAAAAAGTGCAAATAAAATCACTTAAAAGTACAACCATTTTCACTTAATAGTGCAAGTAATTTACCTTTTTTAACATTGATGCACTTAATGGTAACGTTTTTCACATTGGTGCAACTAATGATAATGTTAGGTGCACTTAATATTGATGCTCAGTGTACATTATTTGTTACACTTTTAATACATTTTACTTGCACTTAGATGCACTATATGAAACTGTTACTTGCACTTTTAGCACAATTTACTTGAACTTCAAAGTTCAATTATTTAGGAAAATGCCACTGTGTTTTTTTTTTTAAACAATTGTTTTAATACTTTAGATCTGGACACGTGGACAGCTACAATTGGTTCTCGATTCTTTCTTGGGCAGTTGGTTCTCACCTGATTTAAGCTAATTTATGAAGATTTAAAGATTTAAGCGGCTAATTTATGAAGATTTAAAGATTTAAGCGCGTCCTGGTAAGTGGGGGGTGTTATGGTAATTGTAGTGGTTATTTATATCGGTCGCTTGTCAGTATACACCAACAGTCTTAACAAAAGACACCAATAGTATTAGGAAAAAGCACCATAATGAAATGCACAAATACACCAAAAAACACACAACACACCCAAAAAATACACCATATAACTCACCACCCGAATGATGTATTCTGAACACTCTGTGATGCTTTTAGTCATACCTAGTGGTGCGTTCTGGTGATGCGTATCGAATTTGTGCATGTTTTTTTTTGTGTGCATTTTCTAACATGGATGGTGTATATTTGTATAATTATTAGTGTGGTCGCACTGACCGCTCGGGAAGGCACCAACACGAATTCTCAAATACACCACAGTAAGGTTAATAATGCACCAAGAATGAACATAAAACACACAACACTATGATTTGATATATTCTGGTGCCCAATGACGACTTTAACCTTGCACTTCGCGTACTGTGAGAACGCACGCGAAAATATCGGAAAAGCCTTGATGAATGTGATTCGTTGGATTTATCTAATCTAACGGCCTACAATTAACCGCACCGCCGCACCTAAGTGCACTTGAACCTTCCTCTATATATATATATATATATATATATATATATATATATATATATATATATAGTGTGTGTGTGTGTGTGTGTGTGTGTGTATATATATATATATATATATATATATATATATATATATATATATATATATATATAGTGTGTGTGTGTCTGTGTGTATATATATAAGGGATCAGGTGCATTTGGGGCTTCCCGTGCGGTTGTGCGGAAAATTAATGTGCGTGAGGTTTATACTTAATGTGCGTGAGATTTGTACTCAATGTGCCTGAGATTTGTACTTAATGTGCGTCATGTTAATATGCGTGAGTTTTGTACTTAATGTGCCTGAGTATTGTGTTTAATGTGCGTGAGTTTGTGTTTAATGTGCGTGAGTATTTCAGAATTACGAGCTCAGAATGAAGCAAAATAGAAACTCACGCACATTAACGCCCAAGCTTCATGTTACTTCTTCCTTCAATTTGGCCATGGATTCTGGATTATCAGCTACCTTCAGTGCAGTTGAATGTTTATATAGATGACGCACGCACAGTAAAATTTGCACAGCAGCTAAGTGTGGTTTCTGTTGTATTATTCCCATAATTCTTAACCACCATAGCTCGCCTCCGCATCATCATCAGGGAGGGGGCAATGGCTACTGGGATGGGGAAGAAGCTGACATCAATAATTTCTGCTGCATTTTACACATTCACGCACATTAAGTACAAATCTCAGGCACATTAAGCACAACACTCACGCACATTGAGAACAAATCTCACGCATATTAATCCACCGCACATCCGCACGGGAAGCATTCAACCGCACGGGAACCTTTCACTATATATATATATATATATATATATATATATATATATATATATATATATATATATATATATATATATATATGATTATTTTCAAATACAATCCCCCTTAAAATACAAACTGTGTGCATGTAAGTATGTTAATGTGTGCATGAGTTAATCCCAAATATTGATGGCGGTGTGCCCAATGTGCATGTAAGTATGTTAATGTGCATGAGCTTTGATGGATGGTTTTTCCCCCTACGCGATGTGTGCATGTAAGTATGTTAATGTGTGCATGAGCTTTGATGGATGGTTTTTTCCCCCTACGCGATGTGTGCATGTAAGTATGTTAATGTGCATGAGCTTTGATGGATGGTTTTTCCCCCCTACGCGATGTGTGCATGTAAGTATGTCAATGTGTGCATGAGCTTTGATGGATGGTTGTGATTTTTCCTCCTACGCGTTGTATGCATCTTAGTATTTTAATGTGTGCACGAGCTAATCCTAGAAATTGTTGACAGTGCGCCTGTGTACAAATGTAAGTATGTTAATGTGTGCACGAACTCAAATTTGTATTTTAAGTAGGGGTGTGCAAAACCCGAGGAAACCGACCTACCCGACCGGCTAGTCCGTGGAGCGAACCGTATCCGAAACCCCTACCCGATCCGATGCTACGCTACAAGACGGATGCAAGGGGTTCGGGTGGGAGGCAGTAAACGCTACCCGAACCCGTCCAAACATCCGATAAAACCCTAGGGTTTTTTTTTACCCTATGTAATACGATGTCGTTTGGTTTATATATATATATATATATATATATATATATATATATATATATATATATATATATATATATTACTCATTCCATTGAGCGCAGCCGAGCTCCCATTTCACTCTTCTAGACTTCTCTCAATCTCTCATCTCTCGTTCTCTCTTTCGCTCTAGTCTTTGAGACTTTGGGTCTTACTCTCTAAGACTTTGAGAGTCTGAGTCTCTGTTTGTTAGAGTGTTAGACACTCGTAGAGTCGCAGTTGTAGTCTGGTGGAAGCCCTATTCGGAGACTCGGAGTAGCGACTGGCGCAGTGGTGGAACGGTGGAAGCCCTAGACCCTAGTCCGGTCACCGGAGTCCGGTGGAATAGTGGATTTGAAGCCCTTTGTTCTCGAGGGATTAAATTTGAGAAATGAAGTAATTACTAAACCCTATTTACATTTTCGTTATAGATTATTGTGTATTTGTCTTCTTGATTAGGGTTTCTAATTTTTATGATTATGTGGACTGTGATACTTGTAAATCCGTTGAGAAGTTCCGGATTGCATATCACTAGTCCTTTGAGTTTGAATTTGTGAATTGTGTGATTAGGGTTTCTAATTTGTAACCTAATATGTGGACTCACTGGACTATGATACTTGTAAATCCGTTGAGAAGTTCCGGATTGCATGTCAGTAGTTCTTTGAGTGTGAATTTGTGAATTGTTTGATTAGGGTTTCTAATTTGTAACCTAATCTGTGGACTCACTGGACTATGATACTTGTAAATCCGTTGAGAAGTTCCGGATTGCATGTCAGTAGTTCTTTGAGTGTGAATTTGTGAATTGTTTGATTAGGGTTTCTAATTTGTAACCTAATCTGTGGTGGAAGCCATACTGCCCTAGCCCCTTGCCAGTTGCCACTGTGTGTTAAATACTGAAATCCATATAAATGTTAAGCATGATGGTATTCTTGTGGAAGCCATATAAATGTGGGAGTGTGTCTTGTACTCATGTGTGACTGAAATCCATATAAATGATGAGCATATAAAGTAGCATACATCTACTTAGCTTGAATGCCTGATTATGGATTTCATTGTAAATTGTAATTTGTAAGTTGTTAGTTACTTAGTTGTAAGTTGTAACTGTGAAAATGTGAAATTGTAAGTTTATGGATATGTGACCCTTAAATCATTTATGTGCAATTCTGCATACATGATGAAATGTTCAATTAACTGAATTCTGCCTGTTTAACACTTTAATTAATTGATACAAAGCCCATTCTCTGTTGATGATTTTCAATGAGTGATTTCCCATTTTGTGTCACTGATCCTTTCCCCTTTTTAGATGGAAAGTGTTAGTGGTGTTACTGGTGTATCTGGAACCCAACCTGAGTTGGAAGCACCTGCTGTAGAGACTGTTACTCCTCAGTCTCAGCAGCCTTTGCCTCCACCTGTTCCAAAGAAAAGGAAAGAGGTTGAATCCAGGGCTCCATGTTGGGATCACTTTGAAAAGATCAAAGACAGTGAAGGCATTGTCATCAAAGGAAAATGTATATACTGTGCAAAAGTGTATTGCTGTGAGACCAAGAAACATGGGACTTCTTCTCTCAGACTTCATGTGGTAAACTGCCTTAAAAATCCTCACTCTAAGGAGACAAGGCAGTCCCTACTCACATTCCAACATGCACATTCTTCTGCTGGAACTCAAAGTAGTGAAGGAACTGAAGGGGTGTTGGGTACTTGGGTGTTTGATCAAGACTTGATAAGGAGAGCCTTAGCTGAGATGATTATTTTAGATGAACTTCCTTTTAGGATTGTTGAGGGACAGGGTTTTAGAAAGTTTGTTTTAGTTTGCTGTCCTATGTTTAAAATCCCTTCAAGATGGACTATCAGTAGGGACATTTTCAAGATATTTTCTGATGAGATGGTCAACTTGAAGAAGTTTTTTAGGAATAGCAGTCAGAGGGTAAGTATCACAAGTGATACTTGGACCTCAGTCCAGAGGATAAACTACATGTGCATAACTGCACATTTCATTGATAGTGAGTGGAAGCTGCAAAAGAAGATTATTTCATTTGTTCCTATATATTCCCACAAGGGGGAAAGTATTGCAAAGGCTTTAGAGAGTTGCCTTTTGGACTGGGGTCTAAAATCAGTGTTTAGTGTGACAGTAGATAATGCTTCTAGCAATGATACTGCCCTATGATTCTTGAAGAAGAAGTTGGGCTCTTGGGGTTATACTGCTGTTAGGTGTAAGTATTTGCACATGAGGTGCATTGCTCACATTCTTAACTTGGTGGTACAGGATTGGTTGAAAGAATGTGACAGTTCTGTTAAGAAAGTCAGGGATGCTGTTAGGTATGTGAGGAGTTCACCTGCTAGGTTGCAGAAGTTTAAATCACTAGCTGATCTAATTGGGGTGGAAGCTAAGAATTCTCTGTGTCTAGATATCCCTACAAGGTGGAATTCCACATATATGATGCTTAATACTGCATTACTGTTTCAGAAGGTATTTGAAGCCTATGATGATCATGACAGTTCATTTAAATCTGATTTGGGTGGAAGTGTACCTGATTTCTTAGATTGGGAATCCTTTCAATCTTTGGTTATGATTCTGAAATCTTTTTATGAAATGACTGTTAGGATTTCTGGATCATTGTATCTGACTTCTAATACCTTCTTCTCTGAGATTTCTGATTTGTCTTGCTTGTTGAAAAATATGGAGGAAGCTACAGAAGATAGTGTTAAACTGATGGGTAAAAATATGAGGGCAAAATTTGATAAGTATTGGGGTGAGCCTGAAAAAATGAATTTTTTGATATTCTATGCAAATATCTTAGACCCCAGGGACAAAATTGAGTATATGCCTATTCAGTTTAACCAGTTATATGGTGAGGAGAAGGGTAAAACAATGTTTGATAAGGTGATTGTTGGCCTTAAGGAGTTGTTTGAAGATTATGTTGCATGCTTCCCTGTCCAGTCTGTTGAACAATCTGAAAAATTTTCTCCCTCAATAACAATATCTGATTCTGTTTCTGTTGGGAGACCTCAATCATTACTGAAATCTCAGATTAAGAAGCAAAAATTGGTGAGTGGGGATTTATCTAGGAAAAAAACTGAGTTGGAAGTGTATCTCTTTGAGGTTATTGTGGATGATGATGATTCATTTGACCTTCTAAGATGGTGGAAGCAACAATCTGAAAGGTTCCCTGTCTTATCTAAAATGGCAAGGGATATTCTAGATGTCCCAATATCAACTGTTGCTTCAGAATCAGCATTCAGTACAAGTGGAAGGGTACTTGATGCCTTTAGGAGTTCCCTAACTCCTAGAATTGTTGAGGCATTGGTGTGTGCACAGGATTGGCTAAGGTTAAGCAATCAACCAATCTCAATTGAAGAAAATATTGAAGATGTTGAAAGGATTGAGAAAGGTATATACTTCTAACTTCCAACAATGATCTGTTTAAATGTTTAATTGTTTAAGTTTTAATTTCCATTTTGTTTTTGTACTGCAGAGTTGTGCAGCACATCCAGCACTGGAACTGGAATGCCTACAATTGTTGTATGTTTACAGTTTCCATTAATTTATTTTGAAATCTGAATTTGTGATTACTTATTTGATTTCATGATAAATTTATGCCTCAGTATCAGTGTATCATGTATGTGTATCAATGATTCAAATCAATGTCCCTCATGAGGCTGGGAAGTTGGAACTGGAACTGGAAAGTGCTCATGGCTAGGTAACATTTTAAATGTTGCTGCCATTGAGCTCAGGTATCAGTATAAGTACTGACTAGATGTGTAAATGTGACTTCTGACTTCTGACTCACTATACTTATAACTGTATAACTGTTCATTATTGTGCTATGATGATGCTTCCACCATGTTCTCTGAATATATAGAATTGGGTTTGGTATGTTGCCTATGAAGTGTGGTGTATGCCATACTCATTGAGTAGTGTTCCCCCAATCCTAAATTGATATGGAAAAAAAAAAACTATCTGAGCACTCTTTGAGTCTTTGCTATTTAAATATAATTCATTAGTTGTTCCAGTATAAGTATTATTCTGCTATGATAATGCTTCCACCATGTTCTCTGAATATATAGAATTGGGTTTGGTATGTTGCCTATGAAGTGTGGTGTTTATGCCATACTCATTGAGTAGTGTGCCCCCAATCCTAACTTGATATGGAAAAAAAGCTATCTGAGCACTCTTTTAGTCTTTTACAGTTTCAGTTTGTGTGATTGTGTCAATCCTAACTTCAAATGTTTTGAACTTATTGTGTTTTTATGTGTTCACTTATAAGGAAGAAGAATAGACTAATAGAGACATAGAGTACTCTATATTATATTAATCATATATTCATATATTACTTTTGGAGTTTTGGATATCTGGCTTTCTTTTGCTCAATGGCTGAAACATGAAAGCTGAATGCTGATGTGCTGATGTGCTGATTGGAAACTGATGTTGTTACATGCTTGCCTAGTTGCCTGCTTGCCTTGGAAGTTTGGAGAAGATTGTTATATTTTTGCTAATTTGCTATGAACAATTAAAATTCTCATTACAAGTTAATTTGTAAGCTAATTTGTATTTTGTATATGTAAGCTAATTTGTATTTTGCTGATTATATGTTTACACTTTTATAAGTTTACTTATGTTATTTTTACTTAAGTAGTTCATTAGTTAGGTGTTCCTTCATTCCATGAATTGAATATTTGATTTTTACATTCTGATCAAACTGAATTACCACACGGATATCCGACCGATCCGATCCAATCCGAAAATAAAAATAACCGATCGGATTAGTCAACAAAAAAAAAAACGGTTAGGGTGGTCAAAATTGAAATCCGAAATCCGAAGGGGGGCTCAGTCCGCAATCCGATCCGTCCGATCCGTCCGACTGCACATCCCTAATTTTAAGGGGTTTGTATTTGAATGCAACTCTATATATATATATATATATATATATATATATATATATATATAGCAATGAAGACTTTGACTTTTTACCTATAAATAGAAGTAATTAATCAATATATAGCTAGATTGGGTTAGACTATACACATGTAACAACTCCAACTAGACAATAACTTCCAAAGCAAAATATATATTATATTTACACATAGTTTACTTTCTACTGCAATTCATATCTCGAATTGCTTGCATGATATTGTTGACCTGCAAAAGTTACGTTTCGTCATATATATTTGCATGTGAAGAAGAGAGTTTGTTGAGCTTTGAATTGAAGCAAACATGTGTACGCTACGTAGTCCTTGTTAGTATAGATGCAACTTGGAGCCTAATTCTTGGAATGTTGGAAAACTTTAATTTTGACAAAGAAATATCATATCATATAATAAAGGGAAACATGCATGATGGAAGGGCAGAATGCAACATGTGCTTTAATTTATTATTAGCAAATTATAATGCCGGAATTGGTGAGTTCAAAGTTGATGGTTTTCTTTCCCTCATCAAATATGGCCCTTCGCTCTTTCAATGGTGATCCCTAAAGCATTGTCGCAATCTAGTCACAAGCACTTCTAAGAACATAATAATGATGTCCCGTACTAATTGAGTTATCGTTTTGTAGATATTAGAGATTTTTCTAGTCTCATTCCATATGAATTGATGTGTGTGTGTGTGTGTGTGTGTGTGTGTGTGTGTGTGTGTGTGTGTGTGTGTGTGTGTGTGTGTGTGTGTGTGTGTGTGTGTGTGTGTGTGTGTGTGTGTGACCATTTTTCGATTTTGATAGAGGATTTTTATGACATGTGACGGAATCAGTCGGGAAAATGCGAAACTAGTTAGGGTGACCAGAGAGACCGACTTGATTGCTATCTATTGTTTGACTACTTACCCCAACCTTGCTACCATGTAAAGATTGACAAGTGGCTAGTCAGGACCTGAGTTCTACGCTTGGTGAATTTTCTACTTTTTTGAGTAGTCACTTGGTTAGAGTTCAGAAAGTGAAAGACTGGTGATAGATACCCCTAACCGGGCATCCAGCCAGATACAATGTAGGCAATTAGGTAGAGGTGCCCGAGACACTTAGCAATTTGGGAAAGCAGGCCCCTTGTCTGTCTGACGATCGCATGGCACTCAGGCAGTTCAGCAATTAGCTTGATTGGGCGACCAAGCTAGACAGCCGACGTGTCCCTGACCGAGTGCACTCTCCAGAGGCAGTTAAAGGCAGATCTAGCGGAGATTCTTTCCTTGTACGCCAAGTAACTTCCTTTTCTCACCTAAGAAAGATACTCTAGCAATTTTAGAAGCTTTCTTAAGTTTCTTTTAGTTAATTTCTTCTTTCTTGCCTTCTTCAAGACCATACTCCTTGTATAAATACCCCACGGGTCACATTGTAAGGGATCCGATTTTCAAGACACTTAACGTTAAGTTACTCCACTCTTATTTTTTCTCATATATACTCTCTTTTACTTATTATTTTACGGTAATGTTGATCTACCGTCCGATTATCCATAAACCATAAAACCAACAATTATATATATTATTTGAATTACATTCGATAATATTAACACTTATCTTCAAATACTGAATACATAATATTATTCATACTAAAGACTATTGTCTTTGTTACATCGTAACCCTACAACACATTAATTAATTAATTATATATTTAACTGCTCTAGGGTCTCCATTATCATTGCTTGGCACATAATTTAGCAAATGCCAACTTTGTGGGTGCCAAAAAGCCTAGTCTAGCTATTACAAATCTGGGAATAGTAAAAAAAGGTTAGGCTCCATAAGCTGTGAGTGCACGTGGGCTGTCTTCTAAATTAATCACTAATAAACTATCTAGAAAAACACTAGATTTAATTTCAGAGTGTTAGAAAACTGGGAATAACAAGAAAAACAGAATTGAAGAAATGGATAATATATTCAGCGAGGAATCACAAACCTTCGACGCATAACTCCCGTGATCACGAAGAAAACAACACTCCGTCCAACATAATTAGAATATATATATGTGTTAATCTTAAAGTTCATAGAATGGGATCGAACATATACAGTTGGAGCTAAGAACAGTAGCAGATTACGATGATATCTTAGCATTTATGTATGTATGTTTATCAGCTGTAACCTTGTCCTAAGTACTGTCCACAAAAGTTGGAAGAAATCTGTTTTGCATGTGAGTGATGGGTATTATTGGGCAGCATGGATCTGCAGATCTTGTGTACAGTATATGTGTACTGTGGTGCAGCTGGAAATGGAATCTGAAGATGTTTTTGTGGGAGTGGAGTAAGCAAGGAATCAACACCTCACCTGCTTTTAACTGTTTTAGTTGCGTAATTAGTAAACAATTAGTGCCCACCGACCAGTGGTGTTCGTACAGTTTCATTATTTTGTATTTCTGGTAACAATCCACAAATAAATAAATAAAATTTCACGGGTTTAAACAATGCAGAGATACTAAAATAGTATGTAAGAATACAGTACAAGGGGTAAAAGTCATATTTAATTAAGTACACGTATGTAAGCACTGTGGATGGTCTTATATGTGTAGACACAGAAAATTTGAAGCCGATAAGTAGATCGATTAAATCATTATCGAGCCTAATTTTAGGGTTGATCATTAGTCCAATTTAATTAATTAGGTTATGATAATTAAATTAATTTAATTAGTCCAAGTAAATTTGATTTGGGCTATTGAATTAATTAATTAATTGGTCCAAGCCCATTTCAAAATTGAAATATAATTATAATTATAATTTAAATATAATATGATTTTATTATATTTGAATTAGATCATTATAATTTAATTTGAATTTGAATTAGATGATAGAATAATGAACCTAGACTTGATTTTGGCCAGGTTCATTTTAGTAGACAATTAATTAATTTAATTAAATAAATTTTAGTGGAGTTTCTTGAGGGATTTTAGTTACAAACTTCACTATAAATAGAGCCTCAATTCCATTCTTCTAATCACACCTTAAATACATTGAGAACAACTTGAAGACTTGAGAGCTTGAAGGCATTGAAGAAAGCTTGACAACTTGAAGGCTTGAAGATTTGAGAGCTCTTTTGAAGGCATTTGAAGATCTTGAAGAATTAAAGGCATTTAAGGCATTTTTTGCAGGTTTTAAAGATCTTGACTTGAAGCCTTTTTGTAGGTACTTTGAAGATCTTGGAGCCTTTTGAAGGCAACTTGAAGCCATTGCAGGCGCTTTAATTTGATGTTTTGCAGAGTTGATTGCTTCGGAGCTTGACGTTTGCTGTCGAAGATCACACCGTTTAAATCCCGGAGGCACGCGCCACTTGAATCCCGGAGGCTACGCTATTTGAATCCCGGGGGCACTTCAATAGATAACGACATTGAAGAACGCTTGAAGACTTGAACGCATTTTTGTTGATTTTGCAGGCAATTTGAATCAATTGCAGGGTCGATTATTTCTAAATTCTTGACGTTCGTAAAATCACGCCAATTGAATTCCGGAAGCTACGCTACTTGAATCCCAGAGGCACGCGCCAATTAAATCCTGGAGGCTACGCTATTTGAATCCTGGAGGCACTTCAACATTAGTGAAGAATCAGAGGACTACACAGAGATTTTGTACCTGCATCTTGAACTACACACACTGTAAACGAATTTTGTGAATACATACAAAGTTTACATTTTTTTGTGTTTACAGATTTTGGCACACCTAGTGGGACCGCTCTGTCTCTCATCTCTTCACTATCGATCTACATCAGCAAGCAACTCTACTAGCAATCGGAATGGCG